CACACACACACACACACACACACACACACACACACACACACACACACCATGGCTGCTAATCAGATTTAGATAAGTGCTGCCTTTAAAGAGGTAAAGCAAGTTTTTTACTGTATCCCTGTCCCTGAGGTACAGTTAAAAGATGTTTCCACAAGCAAGCCTATGGGGAAAAATGCAAACTTATTGAAACTGGTGAAACAGGAGAGGTTCATTTAGACCCTGTAGTGAAGTACCAGGCTAGAAACCAGGAGATTGTGAGCTCATCTTGCCTTAACCATGAAAGCTGGCTGGATGACGTTGGGTCAGTCACTCTCTCAGCCCAACTGACTGGGTTGTTGTCACAACAAATTGGAGGAAGAAGGAATATTAGGTACATTCACAGCCTTGAGGTATCTTTAAAAAAAAACCTTCTAAAATCTCAAAGTCTAAATACTATGAGTCAGTATCTAACACAGAGGTCACCAACCTTTTGGACCTCAGGGACCACCAAACTCATAATTTTAAATCCCGGAACCACTAATATGAATTTTGACTGACAGTGGCTTGCTGTCATTGATGGGAGAGAGAGAGAAAGAGATCTGATATAACTTCTCTCTCCCTCTCCCTCCCTCCCCACCTCTCACACACACACATAAACACACAGAGGTAGGGATGGGATTCAAATTTCTTAACTGGTTCTGTGGGCGTGGCCTAATTTGTGGGTGTGGCTTGGTGGTCATGTGACTGGCTGGGCATGGCTTGTATGTAAAAATTATAAATATTTATGTAAATATAGTTTTTTTTATTAAAAAAGAGCAACTTTTACCCAAAATCAGGCAAGGCAGGCAGATTGAGTTGCTCACAGAAATACAGATTCATTCAGAGATCTTTCTATCTGCCATTGGCTAGCTCAGTCTGCACTGACAAATAGAAGCTTCAGTCCTAAGGAAGGTTTAAGCAGAGCCGAAGATCTAAAGATTAGGTAAATCTCCTGGTACAGCAGAACAGCTGATGGGGAGGGGGGAGAAAAATAGCAACATAGTAGGCAAGTTTGCCAGGTAAGAAGTGAGTGGGCGGGGAGGGTTCCTGCAGGCCATGTGGGCGGTGCAGCCTTGTGTTCCTGCGCAGCCTGGATTAATTGCTTTGGGGGGGGGGGGGTACTCTGTAGGTGAGATTTCTCTGCAGACCACCAAAATTTTCTTGTGGGTGAGATTTCTCTGCAGACCACCAAAATTTTCTTGTGGACCACCAGTGGGCTCACCGGTTGGTGACCACTGATCTAACATGTTTAAAGAACACCAGTTTGGAGAATGCTATTTTACAGATTTCTGTCTGAGGGCATCAACTAAGTGTACCAACTAAGCTACTTGACTCAGTGAGGCCCTCAGAAAGCTGATAAGCATAGATAAACATACATTTCTCTTAATAGCGCATCAGATGTTTTTTATGCCTGGAAATTAAAATTGCCTGCTATAGGTAAGAGCATCTATAGTGGAAAAATCAATTGTATGAAAGTACTTCATGATAAATGAAAAAAAACCATGTAATTTCTCTTTGAAAATTTGCACGGAAATAATTTTCTGACAGTTTTCAAATTAGGGATCATATTTGATAACTTATTGAAGAGAAAAATAATTTAAATTGTTTATTTCATGGTTTTTCTAACGAGAGAAGAAATAGGGGAACCTTTTGATGTCCAGTTTGATATTTGTGCTTAATACAAATAGCTATCCAATGATTTGACCTAAGAGTTTACATTTTCACTTTTATCTAAAAAGAAATGGAGAACTAGTGGAAGTTCATAGCAGAGTTTTATAGGTGTAACCTTTATGACTGGGGTAGCAGCATGAGCTATCATATTTGCAAACATAGCGGGAACAAATTAGACAAATGGAAGGCGGAAATATTACTGAGATAAATAATTAATAATAAATAAATAAAGCCTAATTAAAAATTCATTCTTAATTTCAGTGAAACAGTGAAGATAGGACAGTTTGGTACCATAAAAAACAGCATTCTTCAAAAGTATTGTGGATGGAATTGATGTTCAAAATTCTAGCCTGTTCAGTATTGTGTGGGAGGAAGCGGAAACTTAAAATTCAAGTCTCGGTGTTGTTGTTTTCCTCCCCCTCGGTTTAAAGCTAGATGGCAATGGCTGGTTTGTGGATTGGGAATATCAAGCAGGAACGTTATTTAAAATCAGGTCACAGTAGCGGGGATAAAAGGCCTAAACAAAGTTCAGTGCCTTTAAATAGACATGAAATAGCCAACAACAAAAGCTGAAACTTTGTGATTTTTTTTTTATTTCCATTCTTACATTTTATTTTTCATTCCTGGAGAGAGTGTCATATTTCAACCAGACAACAAAGGAAGATCTAATATAAGATTTAAGATAAGACTCCCCAGAAAACTTTTCTGCTGTGTTAATATTCAGTGATATTTGTATGAAAATGAAGAAAATAAAGTATGAAATATTAGCATCATGTGCATTATTAAGACTGCAATAGTTATTTGCATTTCTATAAATAAAGTCATTAAATATAGAGGAAATTACTTCTCAATAGATATGTATAATACCCGGTTAAGTTCAGTTAGCTCTAATTAACTACTTTTACTTTGTACTGTAATAATCTCTTCTTTTTTTCATAATAGTTCCAGAATGAATGAAGGTTAGGGTTCATTAGAATATAAGTTCAAATAACAAATTTTAAGTATGCTTTATCTGAACCGAGTCACTTGTTGCCTCAACCCAGTCTAGTTCTATGATACACTAATTAAAGTTTAATAAATTGTTTTAAATGTTCAGACTTAGCTGGAGAAAAAAAGTTCCATCACTGTATAGCTATGATACACTCTATGGGTAAGAAGCAAGAAAAAAAATAATACTGTATAGAAGAAATGGTTTATTATGTTGTCCAAAGCAGTGTGACCTGCAGGAGATAAAACTCCAGACATGTTCTTATTTGATGGTGAACTATCATTACAGCTCATTATAATAAAACCATCACAACAAAATTATGATTGGGAGAAGCAAGGAAGGTTTTGATAAAATAATGAGAGGAAGAAAAGAGAATTTACTAGAAAAATATTGTTAATTACGTTAAGTGTGACTGGGAAAGGGAATGAATGCTTTTATGGATTGGCATCTTTTTCTCACTCAGTTCCCCCTCCCACAGCATAATCTGAATTGAAAAGAATTAAACTGATCTTGTTTCCTGAAAATTCTGCTAACTCCCCCATGAAAAGATGAAATAAAAGTGTCCAACTGTGGCAATGGGAGGCCAACATAAATCACCTCACAATCCAAAGTTGAATTTTCAGAGGTCATCAGAGGGGTTATGAGTTTTGCAGCATTTGAATGTACACTAAAATTAACTCCCAGGGGACATATACCAACCATCTTCCAAGTGCTGAGTTCAAGCATAGGGGACTTTAAAAAAAATAACAGTTCACTCTCTTTTCTTGTTCCAGGTTTATTAATGCTAGAAGAAGGATAGTTCAGCCCATGATAGACCAGTCCAACCGAGCAGGCAAGTTTTCAGTATTAACTTTAGCCCTGTTTTGCTGACAGAAAACATTCACAAGCCATTCATCAGGAGACTTCTTCTTGGTAAATAATTGGGAAATAATGCACACTTTAAAACAAAGTGTGCCATGATCTATTTCGAAGTTAGTGGATTTGGTACAATGGAGCATATTTTGGAGGTAAACTTGTCAGCCATAAACTACATGGTTGCTTACTGAATCTTAATACCACACATACATTATTGTTTTATATATATATATATATTTCTATAGCAGCTATTTCTGCTATTATGACACTCCCTGGTGCATGGCTAGATGTGGAATTTCTGTAAACTTTATTACCTGTCCAAAGGGCAAAAGGGTCACAGAGCTTGTGGAATTCAGTAAAGTTCAAAGACATTCAGTTAAGGTAGAACTACATATGCTTTAATAAATAAAGGCAACTTATCTAGCTTTTAATGTTCTGTTAGAATGTTAAAATTCATGTGCTGATTTTTTTAAGTGGCTGAAGATTTTTGCATCTATATCTTCCATTTATCCTTCACCTTGGGGTATCTGTATTTTGATATGTATGAATCTTATAATCATCACACTGACTTCTGTCAAGATTCAAAATAGCAAGGCTTTAATTCTTTCTGGATATTCTACATGTTTATTTTTCCATGTTATTGCCAAATATAAGAATGTATCTTCCAGGCATTATTTGTATGGTGATTATTTTCAGGGAATAATACCAGCAAGACTAGCCAAGATTATCTACTCTTAAAGATTATTTAAACATTGGTTAAGTATCTGTACATCTTCCTGGTCAATCTACAAGACACATAAAATAATCTGTAGTGACTGAAGCAAAGCCTTCAGAGGAGCAATGGAGCTAGTGGTGCCATGCCATGGTCTCTACATTCATTTCAAAGTTTGATTATTTGAAATATAAACAGCTACGTAGAGTGGGTTCATATTATTCACCCCGGAATTCTTCAGTATCTATGAACTTGATGAAAACATTCCTAAAATCTTTCCATGCGCTTTGGCATTGGGATAAATTTCTCGTTCCATTTTCCAAGGAGCCTAGCCTAATAGATACGTGAAGGAAATGAAAAAGGGACTGCTGCTTCTTCTGGTATTTCTTGTTGAGAGGATGGTCCATAGAGAAAGCCGTTGCCAATCTCAATAAGAAAAACCACAGGTTGCTTATTGCAACTCTGCTTCTGCTTAAAACAGTGGTAGGGTTGTTTTTTAACATAGCCTTCCTCCCCACCTCCCCAACAGCAGCTCTGGAATTTTTATTTATTGTCTAATATTCTTCCAAAATGTGAGCCGCTTTCCCCAGCCATCTCCATTTATGGCAGAGAGATAGTTCCAAGCAATAAATATCTTTATTGAAATGGGGAAAGGGATAATTTTTGACCCAGCCAAGTATTACCAATCTTTTTTTTTAATTTAGATTTGTATATATGTATTTGAGCAGAACATGGGTCTTATGTGTGCATGTATTCTTATGCACATCTGTAAAGAATGCAATTTCTATTGTCTAAAAAAAAAAGAACACATTAATGAGAAATGTGTTTCTACATAGGACTAACTGCTACACATATCAGGTTTAGGAATAATTGAAAACCTTGAATAGATTCTGATAAATATTAATTCATTCTTTCCAACTTGGTGCCTTATAGTTTTTTTGGGCTGTTGGTTTGAGCTTACATAAATATTATATATTATAGGGTTTTTTTATTTACAAATTCCACTTTCCTAACTGCAAGCCAATATTTTTAGGACTGATAAGAATTACAGATCAAAATACCTGAATAGATTCAGATTGAGAAAAGGTGTAAAAGAACACTAGTTTGCAGTTGCATTATTATTGTACATGCATAGAAAATTAATTTTGAAGAGAACCGATCCAGCTTTGTAAGGCTTGTTTCAGAAGACATAGTCATAATATAGTGTGTTTGCATTTTTGGCTTAGTCTGATGTACAAATGTATCCAAGTGTAAACCATGGCTTGTA